TTGGTAGAGTTTTCTTTATTTTTATTATCGACTACTTTTAATACGCATGCTGTCGTTAGATAATTTCGTTGTCAGAGATTACAAAATCGCGCGTAGAAACTACTTTATCCTGACCAAGTTTTCTGCCGTTACTGATGGCGGAAGCAAGTTGTTCATTCATGTTCTCGTTTGCGCTCGCTCGCTCGCTTGATCTCGATCCGGCTTTGGATGGCACACACGTTCATATGTATAATACACGATCCATATGCTTCCGCCGAAATACGCAAGAAGCATAATTCGTCCGGTGTGCCTTGTTAAGCCACTTCGCCACCACCGACGAAGTTACGTCGTTTTGCGAAACGTACCTACATACCGTATAAGCTTGCAGGACACATTCGACGATAATGAAGAGCGATCGCGGCGATATATCAACCGCGATTACGGTCTTATATCCGACGCACGAAAACGGATGAGACAAGGTGATCCACTTATTCCGCAAGTAGGCGCGAGGATGAGTGAAATCACATGTCACGTTGTCTCTTAACATCAAATTTCTTTCCGTCCTCAATTACCTCGCTTAAATTATTATATAGAAAAATTGAAAGTCACGACTTGTACAAGGAAACAGAAGGCAACCTTTGCGTGAAATAAGAAATCGGTATGGTCAGAATAGAAGAAGTACTTGTAAGGTCAGGAAATATTGAATAAAATTTTACACTATTTTTATAAGACAATTCCACGTTAAAAAATTGTAAGAAAACAAAAATATATTTAACACTCTTTCGTAAATGTTAGCGTGATTCTTTTTTTTATAGTTTATTCATATCAATTTCTTATAGTCATACGAATTTATTAATACCACGCTTTAATAAGGTTTCTGCAAAAATTATCAATTAGCTTCAAACGCTATCAGTGTGCATTATATTATAAATTGTGTTATTAACATGACTAATTAAAAATGATTCACCGCACTGCATTTTGATAAATAATGTTTTACATTCTGTAAATGACGTATATATGCAAGTTATAATACATTATAAAATTATTACAAAAAACCCGGAATCGCCTAAATACGGTAATTTCACAGTCAAAGTATTCAGATAAATCATGTTAAAGATTATTGTGTAAAATTACTATAATAAGCACTTGCATCAATGGAATAGATGCGGTAATCTGTTTTTTCTATTTGCCTTCTTTAAAAAACATACATGTATTAGGTGATAGAATAATTGTATAATTTGCGGGAAAATATAAATTCTGCAATGAGATTATAAATTATTCAACAGTGCAATAGATGCTGCGTGTGGAACGTTAGTATTTAGTATTATAAAAGATGTAATTGTGTAGTTTACCTATTCTAGCGTAAAGTAGTAAATACTAAATCTTTGTTTTTTTATTTACCGATTATTTTATGCAGTAAAATGGAATGGCATTAATTTTACAAAGGAATGTATAATAATACATTGCATATTCGTAATTTTTAATGGGTCCGCGGCTACTGTAATTAAACTTTTGCAATTAGTGAAGACTGTCGCATTATCTAATTAATTTTTTATGTCATAGTGAATTTATAATAATATTTCCTGGGATATGATACACACATGAAGCATTTTGCGTTCGTTTCGTTATATAATTATATGATATTTATATGAAAATTAATAATAAACAATTTTAATAAAACAATAAACATTCTAAATTGATTTTAAACGCAATGCAATGTCATAAGGAGATATTAATATTGTACGATATTTTGTGTCTTGTTGGAAAATATTTTTACGCCGTATATACAGCTCACGGGATAACCTTTTCGAGCGTACACTTATGCACACAAGTCGCGTACGCAGCTGCAATTTAATAATAATACCCTCCTGAAAAAGCATATAATTTTTTAGTTTCGCGAAGCAGTGCCATTAGCAAAAACATTTTGCCACATGCCAAAATATGTATTCTCTCTAACATGTTCTTTCCGGAGAATTCCATTTTACTTCCTCTTCCCTCGATGTTCCTCATTGTTCTTTTTTTCCTTTTTTTTCTTTTTTGGTCTTTACTTTATTTGAAACGCGAACTTTTCCTCTAGCGTGCACTTTTTCAAGTGCGCTGCGAGACGACAGAAAGCTCGAACGAGGAACAAAAATCGTGCACTAGAACTTAGAATCTCATTTGCAATTGAATAATGTGAAAAATAATTCCGCGGCTGAACTGACTGGACGGATGCACGATTTCGATTTACGTAATCGTAAATTGGAGATGATCGCACGCACACGTGTTTCTATATTTGTTAATTTCCATCGGCCTGTTCCCGACTTTGATTCGCAAGGTCACAGGTGGAGCAGTTCCTTCCGCGCTTGTTGGACGAGCGCGAAATAATCGCGCGGCGCGCATTAACTCGGTACACACACACACACACACACATACACACACACACGCGCGCGCGCGCGGCGTTATCGATTGGCGAAGATCGCCGCGCGCGACGGCCAAAGCGGTCGCCATTACCGGGATTGCGGGCGTCGCATTAGGTAAGATCCAGCCTGTACACATTCTCATTCGGATAATGCACCGCTAAGTGGATGCCCCGTATGTGTTGCGACTCGTGGCCTATCAATCTTGATCTCAGCTTATACGAGGGGCCATACCCCGCGATACAACGCACACTATGGAAGGATCGCTCTGCTTTCTCTCTCTCTCCCATGTACCTATGTATAGATGTATGTACCTGCCAGTTATGTATGTGTGAGTATGTATATATGTGTGGAACGGAGCACTGATACACACGAGTACCACTAATGCACACACTTGGGCTGAATGTACACCCTGACAAGTACCGTGAGTACGTGTGGATATACATCAGTAGGTATGTACGTATAGAACACACAGCCCAGGGTCAAGTCATACTGATGGCTCATAAGATCAGGGTATATGGAATGTACGGGGTCAACGGACAACATTTGCACCCATACCTCTCCTTGCTCGATCTCCTAATACTCACCCTCATTATGCTTATTACGATTACACGCTAATTCGCAATCACACAGTTTCGCTTAAAATACGAAGTATACATTTTATTTCTTTCTCTTCTGTCGTCCTGTAACTCTTCTACATCTTTTCATGTTTAGAGATGACAGACTCAAATGGTCCAATTAAGCAAGGACATTAGAGACGCTGAACTATTAATGAAAAAACAATAGGTGGGAAAATTATATAAATTTTATTTTACTTATTTACTATATAAAATACTTTACTATACAATTATTATACATATATACTATAAAGTTATAAGATGTATTTTAAAAACAGTTATGAATAAGATAATTATTGTAGAATAACTTTTACGATATTTACTATACGCTTGTTTATCTTTTTATATTAAACTTATAGTTCGGCGTTATGAAGACAAAAGTCAGTATTATCAATAATATCAATGTGTATTTTTATCCTCCTTTGCACAGAGATATGGAACAATTATATTGATCCTGAAATATTAAATCTAATCACGCTCAAATCCGCACTTGTGTACTCGGAACACACATGTTCAGACTAATACATCACGCGAGAGAGTATCGGGCGGATAAACAGTTATACGTGCATATAGGCAAATGCATTTCCACGTAATTGTAAATATATGTATACGTATGTGAGGGATACACATGTGCGGAGAATACGTTTGAGAGAAATGCCAACAAACGTGTGTAAGATATGTCGTCCTACGTACACGTCCTACCGATGTTTCGCCGTATATACCGAGGCTGACGAGCCATCATCAGCGGTGGCCAAGATGGTCATACGAGAGGATCACTTGGTTTTACGACGAGAGGACCGATTTCAGGGAACGTTATATTTTATATCGGACGCAAGTTCGGCGGATTGCTGCATAAGGATAGACTGACTGACAAATTTATAAGCCACACTTCGTCGTCAGCACTAAAATCTCTTCAATCTTTTACAAGAACAAAATGGACAGTTTACCGAAACATTTCACATGCGTTAAGCTGGATATATTTTGAGAGTTTGAGTAATATTTTGTAATAGACAATATTTGAATATCTAAATAATCTAAATTCTAAATATCGAAATAATTATATATATATATATGTATATATATATATATATACATATGTCGATATTCAAAATTATACACTCGTGTGATGAAATAAAAATGGGGAACTTATGGTCACATTGAATAATGGAGAGTTATTTTATTTTGTTATTTTTTTTTACTTATGCAGCACAAATGTCAAGCAACGCGCAACGAGAGATATTTGTCAATATTTAAAGTAGTAAACTTTAAGATTGGATTAAGGAGTGAGGCCACAGTGAATTCGCGTTGCAAATGTATTTTTAATGAGAACTTAACTTGTACGATCGAACATACGAATCTCGTCGTATACGATATCGTTACTAAACGATTCTCTTTGCGGAGTTGGAGCTTTACGATCAAACAAGATCAATGATTTTCCCTCGCGTCGTTTCTCCCTAGTGCTTTCACCAGTTCCAAATGCGATTTGACGCCATTATCGATGTTGCGATTTTGTGACTTTATGTAAAACACATAGAATAAATGATTAAATGGAAAAAGCTTTTCTCGAGATAAAAATATAATGAAAGAAAAAGACTACTTCGAATACTTCAATTCTAAATGCCGTTTTAAATGCGTAAATATTTATGATAATTATAAGCATATTAAAAACATATATGAACATTGAATGCACATAACAACAAGAAAAAGTTAAATTAAATTAAATAAAATAGTATATATTAATGAAATAAGTATAAGTATTGTACTAATGTTAATTAAAATTCGCAAAAACGACAAAGGCAATTATACTTTTATTATTTTACATGTTAATTTTATCATAGAATTTTATTGTAGATTTACTATAATATTATCTAATTTTACTTTGTAGTTTTTACAACATTATCTACTATATATCAATATAAATATATAAGCAGAATATAAGAAAATAAATTCTTCAAATTTTATTTATAAGAATATAAATTAGCTGTATATAAAAATATAAATTAACATATCGATAAAAATCTTAAGTGAAGTTAAAATTTTCTTTCTCATTTTGAATTACTTTTTGCAGTTTACTACTTCTATAAATTTTATTTTCAAAATATTGAATTTGCAAATAGAATTTGCTATTTGTTTTCGATATTAAGATTTTTCTATATTAATATGTGTACTATATCTTAACGCTGACTAATTATCCATCTGACTAAAAGTGTAGATTAATTATTATGATAGTACGTATCATAAGAATGTAAACCGAAGTATCACATAATTTAACAGGAACAGTATCTTTTCATAATTGACCCTCAATGTTAATATTGATAGAATTAAATCAAGTTTTTCGTTTCAGATATGCGTTTTAAATGTGGATTTAACGATCTTTGGATTGTATAATGCCACGCCTGTTTACATTTTTTATTGTATAGCTTGTCGACATACGTCACTCTTTATCCCGCAATTCCAATTGTATCTGTTCCAAGCTTTTGCCTTCCGTCTCGGGCACAAATAGGTAAGTTAATACCCATACAAGAAATGTTATCGCGGTGAACGTCCATAATGGTGCGAACGTGCCGTATAACTCTTGCATGACCTACAAACATAGTACAATTCCTGCTATTACATTTCATTTTATATAACATATTAAGTAATCGAAAAAAGTCATTTAAATTTGAAAAAATTATTTTACATAAATCATTCACTGTTTATCAATACATTTGAATAAAGCTATTTACGAATGGGTGATACGTTATTAAAATTGCATCTAGTTTTAGAAAATAATTCTTATGCAGATCTTTTTAATAGGCAATAAGATACTGATCGCTCATTAAAGTCACGTAATTTGCATATTTATACAGGTAATAATATATTTCTTAACATTATTAGAGATTCCTTTTTGGCCGTCAAGACTATTAACCGATGTTATATCATATCGCGTTGTATAATACTATTACGAAGCAAAGAATCCTTTTTGGTTAAACCTCTTAACTGATCGTTGCTGTCGATAATCCGCTTACCGTCGCTCTCGTCCGCGAAAACAAAATCGATTCTTACACAGACGTCAACGTACCTGATAAAACTTCACAATGGCGGTGGTGCTTATAGCGTAGTAGAGAGCATTGAGCACCGCGGCGGGTACTTTGACCTCGACGCCGAAGATCTCGCCGATATATGCCAGCGGTATCGGATTAAGGCCGAATCCGAAGCCGAGCACGTAAATCACGACGAAGACCGTGGGCACCCACTTGAATCGGGAGACGTCGTAGCCGTCGGACTGCAGCTCGAAGAAAATGGCTATCGTCGCCAGCGATACCACGCAAATCGGTGCGGCAATTAGCAGCAGCAATCTCTTGCCCGTGAAACGCACAATCGACACGCACGTGCCGCCGGCCAGGACGATGGCGACGCCCGTCAGGATGATGCTGGTGTTCGTCGAGATCTCGAAACCGGCCTCTTTGTATATGTACGACTGATACGCGAGTATCGGCGCTGCGCCCGTCATTGTTAGCCCGCTCAATAGTATCAGAGCGATTCGAAAGGCTCTCCTGTTATGCGCCTTAGTGACGGTCTCCTTAAACATCTCCCCGAGAGTCAACTTGCTGCACTTGTCCTCGGTCTCCACGATTCTTTTGATCTCCTCGAGTTCCTCGTCCACGTTCTCCTTACCCAAGGCCCACTTAAGGGTCCTTTCCGCGGGTTCCAGTCTATTCTTCCGCGTAAGGAACACTGAGCTCTCGGGTAGCCATATGAAGGTCAGTAGAAATAGCACTGGCGCACACACGCTTATCATCGCCATCTCGAATCGAGTGATCCACAGGCCGATCGCGTAGATGAGCAGCATCCCGATGTTGAGTAGAACAGCCATTAAAGTACCTGAAGGCCTTGCCTTGTTTAATGATGCCTTTTAAGAATTCTAATTATTCACGATCAATATCATCCAAGTGACAACGATTGTAAAATATGACCGTCAGCAGTAACTATTGAGTATAAAATCACAGGTTTGTAATTAAAAAAAAAAATACAAACTAGAGATAAATTTGTAAATTAAAAAAAAAATACAAACTAGATATAAATTTGTAAATTAAAAAAAGAAAATACAAACTAGAGATGCCGTTAACAATATCATCTGCGATCGACGCATATAAAATATTAGCGAATAAATATCTAACATTTATATTCAAAACAATAAATATAAAAATTAACTTATGCACTGTGCATTGATGACACATTCAAAATAGCTGATGTCGCACCTAAGGGACCCCTGGTCCGCTTGCTGCTGATCTCGCCGAGATACATCGGCATTACAGCGTACGTTATACCACATCCGATACCCGCGAGTATCCGTCCAACGTATATGATTGGTACAGATGTGGACAGCCCGATGAAGATCCATGACATGATCTTCGGTATTGTAGTGACTAGCAAGGTACCCTTACGTCCGATGTTGTCCATTAGTATGAAAGGTACCAACGAGCCGATGCCAACTCCGACATACATGAGGTTAACGATCCAAGCGATCTCGTCGCTTGTCACCTTTAAAGGATCCTCGTCGTTGAACTTCGGTATGGTCGGCGTGCTCCATCCCTCATGGAGGCCGCAATCAATGATCAAAATACTGCCTGGGAAGCGATCACACGTAAGAATTTTCCACTGGTCGTTCGCGAGAGATTAAATCCAGACGTCGGCGCGATCCCATTTGAATACTTACATACGAATCCAATTAACGTTTGCCGCAATATGCCGCGGTCCATTGTGCCGAACGATGTCCCTCTTGCTTAATTATCGTTTTTATTGGATTTGTTCTACGGATTAGACGAGAAGTAGTTGCTACGAAAGTAGCACGCGCACGAAGAATACGTATCATAATTATAATTAAAATTTCTGCCAACCAGTACTTTTCCACTTTTTCCCTTGATTTACAATTAATTACCAATCACAAATACTTATCTGTTTTATAAATGCATATTATTGTCGCAATAGTCAATGCAAATGATGATCTATAGACTTTGCTTTTGAGATTTGCTTAAATGAATTACTACATAGGAATTGTTATCAGCCCAAAAAGCGATTAAAGTTTACTTCATCCGGCTTGTATACATGCCCCGGTTTGAAGCTTGAACGCTAAAATGGCACGAAGATGCAGAGGATTGAAAATGCGAAATTCCATCTTTGCTAATTATCGCGATCGCGGAGGCGCGCGCGCGGCTGATCCTCCTAATCTGGCGACACGGCCGACCTCTGAGCCAAACGGAGATAACGGAGATAAAGCCAACAAGGGTACTAACTAGATTCCGCGCCACATATCTCCGGACTGAGGGTGGCGATACGGTCACACGTGTAAACGGCTACGTCTGCACGCATGACCGCTGCCCGCCGCGGTCGGAGAGTACTTGCTCTTGCTTTGTGGCACGCGATGCGATGCCTCCCAAAGCGACAGTTTATGGCCGGCCATACAATACACCTATTAAGAGACGGAGACCGAATCGGGCGCGTTCCTTAACATGAATTTATTGCCGTGAAATTCATATACACTTTGACGATTCGCTGTTCAAAACAGAATATCAGTCTGAGTGCACCAACGAATAATTGGTTAAGAGGAAGCTTAGTTAGCTCGACTACTAATTATGAAAAATATATGTATACATGTACATTTCTCATAAAAGGTACAACGATTACTGTTAATTTCGATAATCGACAATTGGTTATTATAATTTATAATTAACTGTAATAACGATAAAATTTTTAGTGTCATATATCTAAACATTTATAAAAAAAGATGGATCTGATTTTACGTGAATATAAAAATAATCGATACATCGATAAACTGAAAAAAATTATCTATTTTTAAAGAGTTTTACTGATTTCATTTATTTAAGATTATTTTGATCATCAAACATGGCAAGTCGAATAGAATAAGGTATGTACTAGGCGATTTGTACTATTGCACCTTTATTAGATTAGGTACATCAACGATTGATGTATCTAATCTAATAAAGGTACAAACCGTACATATCTTATTCTATTCGACTTGCCATGTTTGATGATCAAAATAATCTTAAATGAAATAATCTTAAATGAAATGGAATTTTACAATTCCAAATTGTAAAAACACTTCACTAACAAAGCTATTTACATTCGGAAGTTCAACCGCGAATACTTCTGCAAATATTCGAATTGCTTTTTTTTTCTTAGTCATTATATTATGTTTATAGTTCAATTTCCATCATTTTCTTAAGTTAATCGTTTGTCATTCATGTCTTCTATTCTTTGTCTTCTATTCTTTCTGCATATATTTGATTTAAAGCAATCGCTTCCGGCGACACGTGTTAGAAAAGATTTGTGTCATCATGTTCATAAAATTTGCAATTACAATAGCGTTCATAACAATTAAAATGATTACTGTAACAATTAAATGGCACTGTATTTTCTTTGACTGTAAGACATCCTATGATATTCTATAAAATAATTCGTCCCTCTTCGTTTCATAACGATTAGAGAAAACGGCTAAACACGTACTTTGAACGTACAACGTTGCGCAATATGCAACTGGCGCATAACGATAATTATGAAGATTTATTGCTTTAATAATGCACGGATTGTAACTGCGATAATTACATGTTCTTTTTTTCCTCTTGCGATGGTATTCGATTATAGATGTAGAACGAATCAGTAATCTTTCGTAAGAGTAGAAAATAGAAAGGGCCTTAAACGAACTGGCTGGAATACACTAAATATTTAACTTGATTTAGCAACTAAGCAATATTTAGAATCTTCTCTGAGTCTCCCGTCTGGTTCTGGAACCTGGTTCTCTCCAGCTTAAACAGAAACCTTCAATAAAACCGGTCAAATTCTCAAAACCAGTTAGTTTGCGTCCTTTTGTATTGCTCAAACAGGTTGCCGAAACGACCGGAACACGGCCGAGTTGCATCGACGGTTTATACCGAGACGGGATTTCCCGTCGTCCAGCCACTTATCAACACCGAGGTGCAAGAAGAAAGGCCCACGGTTACTACCCCAAGGTCGTCACGTCCGGAGGTGCACGATATTTCATCTTAACCGCGTAGTCGATGAACGGTTAATCGCAGCCTCCCAAATCGGGAGACTCACTGGCTCTTGAGTTATAATATATGTATATTTATTTCTGTTAAACATTTGTTATTTTTCATTAATATGAATAATAACCGATTCAGTAAGCAAAGCTTATTAATTATAGGTTATAAATAAAGGCATTGTTATTCAGAAACTAATTTCACATGTACGTTTTTAATTTAGTTTTTATATTATGTTAAAATCGGTGAATTGAAAACATATTTTTAATTTGAAGATAACAAAAATATTTATAATATTTATAAAATTGAAGAAGCAAATGATAGCCTTCTACATTCTCATTAAGAAAACATATTCGAAAGATTTATGAAACAATTAATCCCGAATTTTCGGGATATCTAAAAATAGCAATCGATATATGATCGAATTATTGTATTTCCTTTAAATTGATAATATAAAGTAATCGGCTTTCCATTGTGCTAATTAAGCTATTGCTCTACCGCGATGTTTCATTACTCATAGCGAATATAATAAATCATTTTGCGCGTACGCGTTACGGGCATTCGCTAACATGAAACTCGAACGAACATCGACCCGATTAATTGACAGATATATACATAAGAGTCATTATGCGAACACGCATATTTTATCTCAATCACGTCGTTACACCTGATTTAACAATGACATGCCATTATCACGCGAGGATTTAATTCGCCTTGATCAGCGAGCTGTTACTTAATCATGGAAGGTAGTTAAATGCAATCGGGAATTACTCAATCATGCCATTTGATGGATATTGAATGGATGATGATATGAATTACATTTTTTGAGTGTGGTTTCAGATAAGGGAATTACAATAGCATAAACCTTAATATTATTACCTGTGTTGTTTATTTCCGTGTTTGAATCTTTAATGCTAATTCTCTTACATTAATCTAGTTCTGCAGATTTTCTTAAGTCTGATTGTCTGGCGGTTAGTACTTATGATAATTTCTATTTTAATAGCCGCATTCGAATTAACGCACTGCGAACACGTATATGCATATGAATAATACATACATTATTAAATCGCTGCATCGTCTTTCAAAGATGGAATTCTGAAGTTAAAATAAATTTCCGTGTCACAGAGAAATTTTTCTTTCCTTTTTAATACTACTCCTAACTTGCGTCTATGTCCAACTATTTCACAATGACACTGATGACAGAAGTTTTTGGAAAGCTTTTTTATAATTGTGATCCTCTAAGTGATATATTTCATGGTTGATTTAATTTTGGATTTATCGTCTAATTGCCTTCAAATACACGAAGCTCGCCGCGAAAGTGTACTCGCAGAAATAATTATATCGAGAGTTCACCTTGATAAAGCACCTGTCACTACCACGATAGTCGAGAATGAGATGCCGAGATCTCGACGCGCGTTGGCGACAACGACGCCGTTGTCATTCTGAAAGACGCCGGAAAGGAAACTGAGCCTGACTCTGATACGCAGGCACGTCACTGCGATTTTAATCGAATCCCCTCCCGTCCCGGACGAGGAACGACAACGCGGCCTGTAACCGCTAATTACTTTCCCGCGCTATTTCTCGCGCGCGCAAGGCTTTTTCCGCGTAGTTTTTCATATCAGTTCTTCTGTTCTACCAGTTAACCGCCTTTTAGTGCCAGGCGTGCGGAACTGTGGATATCACGTATCACGTATTTTGAAAATTGCTCCGTTTGACGGGTCGCGATTTTTTTCCCACTACTTCGGCAGGCGGGCGTGACGGTGTGCGTGTCAAATGACAGGTACGCCTGGGAAAACTGATATGCTAGCTATTAATTCGTTGTTATTGACTAGGTGCTAGGTTTAACTTCAGGATAAACGCAGTAACACGTATGTTTCCGCTTCCACGTGCAAACATTTGCTAATTGAAAGCGAGAACGCAATCTATAAACGTTTATTCTATGTCTATATCATGTTTATTCAATGCCTTATCTGAGCGAATACCAAGCGAGGAATGCAAATTGCATAGTTTTATTCCTGTCATTATGTTACTCGATGATTTTCGCTGTTTAAATCTAGGAAATGTTAAGAAGGACAGACGTGAATGGAATTACGAAATTATTTCTCGAAGGTAAAAAAATTATTCACATTGAATTTTAACCTCGGGAAATAAAAACGTGAGCCTTGCTCGGGAAAAAGTCATTTCCATCCTTGAGCAACGTCGTGGCAAGCCGCGGCTTAATTTCATTTTTCATATTTAATGTGGATAACATTGAAGTGCCAAGCGTTTCTAATACATATCACCAAGTATATAAGTTTCCTGCTTCTAAAAATTCCAGAAATAACCGTAAAAGATATTTCAAAATCAGTCAGCATTATACTTCTGACGCAAATACCAACGGTTAATAACGTTTCAAAGGCGTTAAGACTTACAAGTCTGATTTAATATTTATACCGCGAAAGGAAAATCTAATGGAACGTAATTCGCCGAACTTTCTCTCGATCATTCGCGCAATCGGTTCTACTTGAATGCGAACGGTCGACCTGACCGACGGCGATCCATTTTACTGGCGCAACGGCGCAATCGAGGAAACATCTGACGTGTCTTAACTTCGAAATTGCATCGGTGATGTTCCACGCGGCGAGCAGCATCGCGTGTCAGATTGATTTAAGGGCGTCATTGTCGTTATACTGTGTGATCCTTATCGCATACGAGAAGTCGAGAATACTGAAGGCAATGCGCGGTTTTTTCCAAGCACGTCACATTCTTACGTGTTCATCTCGACTTGATAATTTGTCTCCCTGTGTCGTAATCCGCATAGACTCTGCATATTAAAACTCTTACGCATTTCAACCAGATGATGTCAATTACACGTGACGTGTCTGTATATATTAAAAAGCAATGTTGTGCTATTGATAGACACACTTTTTACCACAAAAATCAAGATCCGACTACTTCAAGGAACAGTTGATGTCACAATAATGTAGATTAGTATGCCATTTAGCTAATGAATATTTAAGTATCTTCTACATTTCTATGAAATTTAATATTTAGATGCGAATATATAAATAACACAGGCCTGCGAAAATAAGACTTTGGAAAGTCCATTGAGAGAAGTGGTTTCTGACGTAATATTTAGCGTTGAATCCGAATCTAGCCACAGAATTTGCTTAATACGTCAGGATTTCGAGATATTCTAGCTTAAAAGTGCAAAAAAGATTGTTTTTTAATGTTTTCAGATTAATAATTTTAAAACGTGTTGATATCCGTTATTTGGCAAACAGATTCCGATTTCTCACGAAAAAATCTACGGAAATGCACATATATATATTTTTAGAAATAGTCAAATATTTATAATTGCAAGAATAAATTATATTAACAAATTCAAAATCCTGACGCTAAACAAATTCTGTGGCCAGATTCGGAATCAGCGCGAAAAAACGTCGGAAATCATTCTTATATATCTCAATGGATCAAATCTCACAGATCTGTATAATTAATAAATAGCTATCGTGAATTCTAATTCTAATTTAATTATTAATGGTACGTTTAGAAACAGTTTCATTTTTGCTAATTGTTATTTGCGGTATTATAAATAATTTAAATAATTTTTTGTTTATATTAATAAATTTAAATTCATCGAAATTATATTAAAACTATATTAAAAATTCTCTCATTAATATAAATGCAATGAGTGTTCATTAAAAGTAATAAAAACTATCATTTAAAACCCTATCTTTCATGACGTTTATCGTTCACGAAGAAAATGCAATGTATGCCATTAGAGAATCATGTCACGTTATTTAATCATTTTTTATTACATTCTATAAATGTAATTCTTTTTGCATTACTTTTTTGTGTGATATTTTACGTGATACTTTATATTTCATTATAAACTCAGGTACGCGAGGTATTATCCGCGAGCGGTACCAAGAAAGGCTGAAATAAGTAAGAAAAAATTTGCCATGAAATCCAGATGATTCTCCGAATGCTCATCGTCTTGCTGCTTTCCTCATACCCGCTTTAATCGGGAAACGGCATGGTTAAACTACGTCAGATAGCGACAACGGGGGAACAGGCGAGATGAAGTGAGGCGGGAGGTAGGAAGGAAAGAGGTCGTTCAGCGCGCGGAGACAGCACGATAGTCCCTAAAGTATATTTGCATTTGCATTCGGTAATTAAACTCCCTCCGTTTCCGCGATACTAGACTACCTCAAGCTCGTTCTTATCGGAGTTTGTCGAAGAAGAGCAATTGGTCGGCTCGAGGAATTCCAAATGGCTTTCTCGTGCCCGAGGCACGTGACCAAGTTATAACGGCCGGAAGTCAGCGAGATACAAAACTGTCTAGTGATCCGCGGTGATTAATCGTTTCGTTCAGTCAAAGTTACTCCACGTTCCATTAATTAAGTAATTAAACCGCTGTCGCTTCGCCTCCAGCATCAAGATTGACATGAGATTTCGTACGAAACAGATCGGCGAAGAGATTCTTGTTACAATTTGCGTTTAGTTACCATTCTGCTGCTGTTTCGGAGTTACGAAAGCGGAGGCGTATTCGGAAGCGTATTCGGGGGGAGGGGGGGGGATCTGATTTTAATTTCACAATGTCGACGATGTGTACAAAGTTGTTAAAAATCAGGGTATATTTCTGCTTTGAAGTATCATTATTTGATAAATTGTATTTCTTAAAATGTGTTTTTTTTAAATAGCAAGTTGTTGAGTTAATAATATAAATGAGACAGCACATGAATATTAATTGTATTTTGTTGAAATATTATGCATGCGTAAATCAGATAAAAAATAAAAGATGAGAATCTCGCTCTAAACCTCACTACGTGCAATTTATTGAATTTATCTTTCGAAACATTATACGCTTAATTATTTTTCTCTCGAGTATGCGTGTGCATTAGTATAAGTTAGTAGTTTGCATGCTGATTACTGATATTATGTAATGACTAGATGTGAAATTAGTAATCATAGGCGCAATCATATAAAACGGTGATACGTAAAAATTCATATTTTATTTTCTCTTCAATTTCACGTTTAAAACCGTCAGTATCGGACATGAAATGCGCACACGAATGCACATGATTTCATCCGAATCGGTTAAAAATTATGATTTTAATGACGAAAAAAAGGAAATGTGAAGAGAAAATTTGAGTAACACAAGTAGTTAATTAAAAGTTATATTTTTGTGATGCAATTCACTTTCAAGCAGCAACACGTTGCGAGGAGGCGTTAACCGTGACCATATTGCATAATCATACATTATTCCGCTTGCATGATTTTAGCGCAGAGATTTTAATTCACGTATCGTTTTAGAGTCTATTTTAGACGATTTATTATTCGTGCTAGAATTCGAGATAGAATTCTATTTATGATTTTATGTACTTCGGAGATGTAACACAAAACAAAAATAAATATTTGCAAAGAATCAGAATATATGCATATATAAAATGTATACTAAAATAAACACACGTATTAAAATACATGTCAAACAGAATTCAAAATTCTGCTTTGAAATACAAAAATGAATTGTAAAGCCAAAGTGGATTTTACGAAAATTTTTCTCTTTCGCATATGGAGTTAATTGCACGGAATTCTGATTGTTTACAAATGTATTATGTTTTTAACAGCATTTCGCCTACGAACGGCGTCATTTATATTACATTTTTTTACACATAGATATGGATACAAAGATATGGTCTCGGTGTCAGAGATACCCATACGCGCGTTTTTATTCCGCGCAGAAGTCGGGGAATCCACTCGATATCCCATGTCTACGATATCGGCAAAGTTGGCCACGAGAGACCGAGCCTACTTGGCAGATATAATAAAAAGAGAAATATCGCAGGGGCGGAGGCGAAAAGAGGCGCGAGGCTGCAGCGAGAGCGGTATGCGCCGCAGCCCGCGGCTACGCGCTGTAAAATGAGAAATGCATGAGAAAGCCGCAGGGTAAAGGACTTACCATCGTGGGAGTCATAGAGGTAGATGATTTTCTTCCAACCGTAGTATCGCACCGTGTCGATGATAGCGCGATGGTAATCCGGTCGCATACTTATGGCGAAGTCCAGGAGACCCGAGGATGGTGTCAGGACCTGGATACACAATAATCCCCGTGCATTTCCGACGTTCTACGATCATGGCCGTTGTGAAATTTTCAACAGGCAGTCGTACGTCATCCACTTAACGCGCTGCCGAAATTAATTCTACTTAGGAGAGGGAAAGGATGCTCCGTCGAAACTTTAATCTGAGTCGGTGCAATCGAGCTCCTACCACTTGTGAATTCTCTTTGAAACTTAATTCCTCGCGAATGTGCAACTGGTGCATGCGCGTACTGATTTACTACCGAAATATATGCCTTTTGATACTAATTCCAGTTGTCGAGTCTCGACTCGGCTTTTTCTCGTAAAACATTTATAGCACTTTAGATATGCACTGCGAGATTTTCGAAGGCAAATTAAATTCTACGAGGTATAGCAATTTAGAAATTTCCTTTTAAAATAAAATGATGCTACTTTTATTGAACCTTCCAGATGATGTTGAAAGGGAATAAATGCCGCATCACGTTTGAAAAATTAATCATCGTCCAGCTAGAATGATCATATCCACGTATTGAATTTCCGATGGTATGGTACCGATAACGTCTCTCTTTCTTTGAAAGCGAGACAGCGATGCAAACGCAGTGCAGGCAAGGATCTCATGGAAATTGAAAAAGGATTTTCTTTATATAAATGGCCGTTCCTGGCGAACCGTAATTGGCCCAAAAAAAAGGAGTAGAAAGCCGAGGCGTCGAATCAGCATTACCGCGCGATTACCATTTAAACGACATCGATGTTCGTTACGCGTATATATATATATATATATACTTATATTGCATGGAAATATATCGTGGGAAAAATACACACACAACGATCGAAATACTCACGAGTCCGACGTCCGTTCTATAGCATAGTGCGATATCAGTTTACAACGGCGCGATAAATGCGGCCCCCGCAATTCGAGCCGGCGAATAAATTTTCAGCGAGCCAATTCATTTCGAAATTCAAATTGTAATATGTATACCGTATGTATCGCATACATATTTACGTATTTGTATGGATGATCGTGTCGACCAAATCCATCATCATGCATCTCGCAGCGCCGCTAATTATCAGTTTGCAGCGCGAAACAAAACTATTGATTCTGTACACGACAATTATTGTCAAATGCGCGTACGCACATCGTAACGTATATTTCCCGTTTTTTTCCACAAATTGATAAGTGCGATGGAAAATTTATGCATCGATTATAAGCTGTTCCTGTCACAGACACTTCAACTTGAATGCCAATCTCTCCGCCTTTACATATACGGTTCGACGTAATTTAAATTTGACGAGATTTGAAATTTAATGGGAATTATTATGCAATGTGACTATTAAAAACGTTTATGTTACATACTTCAATGAGCATCAAATACACGAAAAATTCTAAGTTTCAGATAGGTATAATTTTTTTAAAGCAGAACCTGTTTGTACGATAAATTTTTCCTTGTACGTTCTGCTTCAAGGCACTAAAAAAAAAAAACAAATACGCGGAGTGTAAAATATAAGATTGTAATAAAATGAAAGACACACCTAAGAACAGGCTTCATGACTACAAATTAAATTCAAATAAGACTTCAATTCATTTACTTCGCTTTGAGGAAAAGTACTGGCTATGACTAATTGCATAATTTTATTCCGAGCGGAATAAATCGCATGAATTCTTGGAATCAATGATTCCAAGCATTGTTCCATTGAAAAACTGAGAACAATGACAAATATTACACAAATATATATATATATATATATATATATCGATTCAATAAAACATAATTACATTACTATTTTGATATAATTCCAAGAAATTTAAAATGTTTAAAAAAAAAATTAAAAAAATAAAAAGTATGACATGATAAAGAAAGATACGAACTGCTTCTTATGCCATATATCTAAAAGAAAAAGATACGACTTACCTTTTCCGGGAACCAGGGTGTTACGAATGGCATTTGGAATGTGTTGCTGTATGAATGCAGCGTATCGAACGAGTCTGGACTCACGGCGCCCAACATCGAAGATACGCCTCTACTGAACTGGCTGCAGACTGCAAAATATAAAAATAAGGATCGTTATGATTGAAGAAGAAATTAAAAAAAATAATAATTGTAGTCAACATATAAAATAATCCTTTAGAAATGTTCGAAAATACTTGATATCGCAAAATCTTGAGCAAGTTATATAAGTTATATTTATATTAAAGAATTATCCGCACACAATAATAAAATTTGATATTTATTTGAAAAAAAAAGTGACATTTTATAATATAAATCGTTGTTATTACTAGGCATTATCTACGCATCGTTGTTATTTGTAGGCTGTTATTATTTAACATCAACAAATGCATATACTATACTTTATGAAGATCGAGCGACCATTATATGATGGGTAATCTCGTTGACCATTATGCGTGGTCTTCCACAAAGCGCAATAATACCGCAAAAGTGTCAGCTTGCGGGACATACTGAACGCCTGCTGGATAGATCCGTTTTTATTAGCACGGTAGAGACAAAAAGGATTACCAA